AACATAGAGAACTACAGGAGACACAGAGAACTACAGGAGACACAGAGAACTACAGGAACTCCTGTAGTTCTCTGTGTCTCCTGTAGTTCTCTGTGTCTCCTGTAGTTCTCTATGTTCCTGTAGTTCTCTGTGTCTCCTGTAATTCTCTGTATCTCCTGTAGTTCTCTGTGTCTCCTGTAGTTCTCTATGTTCCTGTAGTTCTCTATGTTCCTGTAGTTCTCTGTGTCTCCTGTAGTTCTCTGTGTCTCCTGTAGTTCTCTGTGTCTCCTGTAGTTCTCTATGTCTCCTGTAGTTCTCTATGTTCCTGTAGTTCTCTGTGTTCCTGTAGTTATCTATGTTCCTGTAATTCTCTGTATCTCCTGTAGTTCTCTGTGTCTCCTGTAGTTCTCTGTGTCTCCTGTAGTTCTCTATGTTCCTGTAGTTCTCTGTGTTCCTGTAGTTCTCTATGGTTTCCTTTAGTTCTCTGTGTCTCCTGTAGTTCTCTGTGTCTCCTGTAGTTCTCTGTGTCTCCTGTAGTTCTCTATGTTCCTGTAGTTCTCTATGTTCCTGTAGTTCTCTATGGTTTCCTTTAGTTCTCTGTGTCTCCTGTAGTTCTGAGTGTCTCCTGTAGTTCTCTATGTTCCTGTAGTTCTCTGTGTCTCCTGTAGTTCTCTATGTTCCTGTAGTTCTCTGTGTCTCCTGTAGTTCTCTATGTTCCTCACCTTGGTCACCAGCATGTCTGTGGCTTCAAAATGTCTCCCGAACATCTTGGGCGCTTCCCCGGGGATCGGCTCGATCTTGATGCAAACCTCCTGACCCTTCTTAGCGCTCTCCACTGATTTGTGGTTCATCTCGATGCTCGTCACGATGCCGATGTCCACAAACTGCAAACAGATATTACAAATAAACAAATATATTTTCCCTGGTTCCCGGCTTGAGCTTCAATCTCAGGATATATTCATATTTGAGAGTCTGACCCCCTTGGCGGGCACGCAGAGCGGCGTCCCCTGCCTCAGGACCCCGGCCTCGATGGTGACGCCCATCACGATGGGATCTCTGGAGTTAAAGATGAACTGAGGGAGCACCTTTACCTTCGCTGGGAACACCGCGATGTTCCTGAGGAAAGCACATGGATTAAGGGTTATAAGTAATAAGTATTTATTGGATTCAAAACAAATCTGTTCATTTTTTTTTTTTTTAAGTAAAGTCAGGATTTTTTAGATTTTCAAATAAAGGTCAGCATTTTTAATATTTTCCAAATAAAGTCAGAACTTTGAGATTTTCAAAATAAAGTCAGAATTGTATGTATGTATATAAACGGTAGTATGAGTCGTACTTGAACTCCTCCTGCTTGGCCTTCTTGTAGTCTTCTCTGTATTTGGTGAAGGCGTCAAACAGGTGATAAATAATTTCTGCAGAAAAGATTCGAACGCCCAGACTGTCGGCCATTTCCTGACTCTCTCTCTCCACCTTCACGTCGAACGCCAGGATCACCGCGTACCTGAGAGCACCACAAACACTGTTATTATACACATTTAAACCAGGATAATCAGGTACCTGAACGCACCACAAACATTGTTATTATACACATTTAAACCAGGATAATCAGGTACCTGAACGCACCAAACACGTATTACACATTTAAACCAGGATAATCAGGTACCTGAACGCATCACAAACACTGTTATTATACCATTTAAACCAGGATAATCAGGTACCTGAACGCACTTCCTGTAGTTCTCTGTGTCTCCTGTAGTTCTCTGTGTCTCCTGTAGTTCTCTATGTTCCTGTAGTTCTCTGTATCTCCTGTAGTTCTCTATGTTCCTGTAGTTCTCTATGTTCCTGTAGTTCTCTGTGTCTCCTGTAGTTCTCTGTGTCTCCTGTAGTTC